TATTACAAAGTCACTCTTAGAGAGTTATTCTTCATAACTCTTACTAGAAAGTCTCTTTTACAGAGTCATCCTTCACAATTTACTAGAAAATCACTCGTAGTGAGTCATCTTTCATAACCCTTATTACAAAGTCACTTGTAGTGAGTCATCTTTCACAACTCTTAGTACAAAGTCACTCTTAGAGAGTTATTCTTCATAACTCTTACTAGAAAATCCCTGTTAGGAAGTCATCCTTCACAACTCTTAGTACAAAGTCACTCTTAGAGAGTCATCCTTCATAACTCTCACTAGAAAGTCCCTCTTAGAGAGTCATTCTTAATATCTCTTATTAGAAAATCCCTATTAGGGAGTCATCCTTCACAACTCTTACTACAAAGTCACTTTTAGAGAGTCATCCTTCATAACTCTTACTAGAAAGTCCCTCTTAGAGAGTCATTCTTAATATCTCTTATTAGAAAATCCCTATTAGGGAGTCATCCTTCACAACTCTTACTACAAAGTCACTCTTAGAGAGTCATCCTTCATAACTCTTTACTAGAAAGACCCTCTTAGAGAACGATGCTTCATAACTCTTACTAAAAGTCGTCCTTAGAGAGTCATCCTTCATAACTTACAATAAAGCTCCTGTTAGAGAGTCATCCTTCAAAACTCTTACTAGAAAGTCCCTCTTAGAAAGTCATCTTTCATAAAACATACTAGAGATTCACCTTTCATAACTCTTGCTACAAAGACCCTCATAGAGATTCATTCTTCGTAACTTTTACTAGAAAGTCCCTCTTAGAGATTCACCCTTCATAACTCGTACACCAAAGTCACTCTTAAAGAGTCATCCTTCGTAACTTACTAGAAATTTGCTCTTTGAGAGTCATACTCCATAACTCTTACTAGAAAGTCATGCTTCATAACTTTACTAGAGTCACCCTTAGAGAGTCATCCTTCATAACTCTTATTGGAAAGTAAGTCTTAAAGATTCTTTCTTCATAACTCTTATTAGAGAGTCCCATTTAGAGAGTCATTTTTCATAAGTTTTACAGGAAGTCACTCTTAGAGAGTCATCCTTCATAACTCTCACTAGAAAGTCCCACTTAGAGAGTCATCTTTCATAAGTTTTACAAGAAGTCACTCTTAGAGAGTCATCCTTCATAACCCTTACTAGAAAGTCACTCTTAGAGAGTCATCCTTCCTAACTCTTACTAGAAAGTCACTCTTAGAGAATCATCCTTCATAACTCTTACTGGAAAGTCACTCTTAGAGAGTCATCCTTAATAATTCTTAATAGAAAGTCACTCTTAGAGAGTCATCTTTCCTAACTCTTAGTAGAAAGTTTATCTTAGAGAGCCATCCTTCATAACTTTTCTAGAGAGGTTTGAGAGTGAGTGTATTAAGTCATTTGGTGAACAAATAATAAGTCGATTAATCTATGTACAGTAATGTATTTAATGATAATTATTTTTCTGATTATATTTGCAGGAGCTCCAAGAGGTTTACACTGATCTGAGTCAGACTGTATCCGAGTCCATCATGTCGGCTGCTAGTCTTCTGTCAAACAAGGTACATAGTCCCTTTATTTTATAAATTGAGTAGAAGTGCTTGTTTAGAAGGAGTAGCTTCAGTTGGATTTGCTGCTAAAGAAGAAGAGGAGGTCACCGTGTAGTGTCTTTCTTGTCTGTTAAAATAACGACTGTTTATTGTACTTTTACTAATCATACGATGAATACTAACGATCGTTTTGTTGAATTGAAAACAACATTGACCAAAGTAGTTTTAGACTCGTAGATCATAATATCAGAAATGATTGTTTTTATGAAATAGGAACCGGGCGTGTGCTAGTGGTTAGTGTTCCGGGCTGCGTACAGACAGTCTAAGACTTAAGCCGCGATAAGTTGCTGAAAATACTCTTCACACTGTCAGCTGTGGGGGGCGATATAACTATTTCATTTCAGGTATTCGGTTAATGGTAGGCGCATAGGTGATCAGCAGTTCTAAAGTCGGGAGGGCTACTGGCCTGCCTTGTAGCCCATGTGTCGTAAACGTGCGTTTTAAAGTTCCCACTAAGATGACTGATATCTGTCTATGATCGTTCTGTGTATATGAGTTGTTGTTATTACACATAATCCAACCTGAAAATCTCTTCTTTATAAAATAACGTTTTAATGAAATCGCCATTGTTTCGTTATTTTGGTATTTCCTTTCGTTTAGCAAAAGGAAGCTAACCCAGGCATTGTATAAAAACATCAATGTTTAATTATTTCCTGCTTTCTGTACCAACGTATTCAACAAAGTACGACAACAATGAAACAAGGCAGTAGAAGAAAGAGAGTGAAGGTCTTGGAGGTGGTAGTTAGAACAATGGCCAAAGCCGTAGAAGAAAGATAACTGAGGTCCTGGAGGTGATAGTTAGAACAATGACCAAAGCCGTAGAAGAGAGAGATAACTGAGGTCCTGGAGGTGATAGTTAGAACAATGACCAAAGCCGTAGAAGAGAGATAACTTAGGTCCTGGAGATGATAGTTAGAACAATGGCCAAAGCCGTAGAAGAGAGATAACTGAGGTCCTGGAGGTGATAGTTAGAACAATGACCAAAGCCGTAGAAGAGAGATAACTGAGGTTCTGGAGGTGATAGTTAGAACAATGACCAAAGCCGTAGAAGAGAGATAACTGAGGTCCTGGAGGTGATAGTTAGAACAATGACCAACGTAGTAGAAGAGATATAATTGAAGTCCTGGAGGTGATAGCTAGAACAATGACCAACGAAGTAGAAGAGAGAGAGAGTTGAGGTCCTAGGGGTGGTAGTTACAACAATGAAACGAGGCAGTAGAAGGGAGAGAGTTGAGGTCCTAGGGGTAGTTACAACAATGAAACAAGGCAGTAGAAGGGAGAGAGTTGAGGCCCTAGGGGTGGTAGTTACAACAATGAAACAAGGCAGTAGAAGGGAGAGAGTTGAGGTCCTAGGGGTAGTTACAACAATGAAACAAGGCAGTAGAATGGAGAGAGTTGAGGCCCTAGGGGTGGTAGTTACAAAAATGAAACAAGGCAGTAGAAGGGAGAGAGTGAAAATCCTGGAGAAGGAAGATACAACAATGGCCAAGGCAGTAGAAGGGAGAGAGCGGAGGTCGTGGAGATGATAGTTACAACAATGAAACAAAGCAGTAGAAGAGAGAGAGGGTGTGGAGGTCATGGAGATGATAGTTAGAACAATGAAACAAAGTAGTAGAAGAGAGAGAGAGGGAAGGTCATGGAGATGATAGTTAGAACAATGAAACAAAGCAGTAGAAGAGAGAGGGTGTGGAGGTTAACTATCATCTCCATGTGACCTCCACCTCTCTCTCTTCTACTACTTTGTTTCATTGTTCGTTCTAACTATCATCTCCAAATGAAACAAAGCAGTAGAAGAGAGAGAGAGGGGAGGTTAACTATCATCTCCATGGAACAATGAAACAAAGCAGTAGAAGAGAGAGAGAGAGAGAGTGGAGGTCATGGAGATGATAGTTAGAACAATGAAACAAAGCAGTAGAAGAGAGACAGTGAAGATCCTGGGGATGTTAGTTACAACAATGAAACAAAGCAGTAAACGAGAGAGAGTGAAAGTACTGGGAATGGACAAAATGAAACAGATCAATATAAGAGAAAAGGGATAGCCTGGAGAATGGTTTGAAGCATCCAACGTGTCAGGGAATTTAGACAGGAATACACACTAATAATTTGGGTAGAAGAGATAAAAACTGGCGAAAATGCACGAGAGGAAAGGGAACTCTTGGAAAGAAAGATATGTAAAGTTAGTGCTGTACATAAACGAATGTTGTAGGGAATGTTGGCGAGGGCGTTGTATTAGTCAAGATTTGTGGTTTAAATATTTAGGGACAGAGAGATCAACATGTGTATGTTAATATCGCGAAAACAAAGGTAATTGTCTAAATAAGGAAGTTGCTGAAAAAGTCAGAAGCAAAGTTTTCATTGAATTGGGAGTCGCGAGTCCTCATCTGAAGAATTTAACAGATTCTAAGAGTTACAAGACCAAGTAAAGTAAAATGGCTTCAGTGGCTGATCTGATAGACTTTATAACCTTCACCTCCTGACTGATCTATTGACTTTATAACCTTCACCTCCTGACTGATCTAGTGACTTCATAACATTCCTCCCCTGGCTGATATGTAAACTTTATAACTTTCCTCTCCTGGCTGACCTAAAGATTTTATAACCTTCCTCTCCTGGCTGACATGTAAACTTTATAACCTTCATTTCCTGACTGATCTATTGACTTTATAACCTTCCTCTCCTGGCTGATATGTAAACTTTAAAACCTTCATTTCCTGGCTGATCTATAGACTTTATAACCTTCATCTCCTGGATGATTTATAGATTTTATAACCATCATCTCCTGGTTGATCTGTAAACATTTAAATCTTCATGTTAATAAACTTGATAACCTACGATTAATATACAAAAGTGAAAAAATTTTTAAACTGATGTATATTCTGTATGTTTAAAAATATGTTAAATTAATTTTAAGTCATGCTGCAAATATATTTAAAATTTAAGTATCTATTTAAACAGTTTACTTAAACAAGCGCACTGTATGTTCCTCCTTGTTGAAGTCAGAAGTGAGGACTTTCAAGCAGCTTCAGGCCAGCAGCCAGCTTCCAGGAAAGGGGGTATTTTTTTCTATAAATATTTGAACTTTTTGGATCTCAGATAAAGTTCACCTGTAGCGACACAAGTGTAGGTGAGACGGATATAGCAACTACAAAATAAGTTCCAGTTATTTCTGTGTTTTTATCTGCACCATCAAACGACCTCACGTGCTTCGTTGCAAATGTCTAAGGCCACCCATGAAACAGGAATGTTTAGGAAGTACCTCGATTTCTTCAGCTGGGCAACAACACACATAGAAAAAAAATTCACAGTCAATCACCTGGCGAGCATTTTATATACTATTTCTCACGTATTGCAAAATACGTAAGGATAGATTGAGCAATATAATTCTTGATTAGGGTACTAAATACTGACTACATCAGGACATAACATTATTTGTAAGACATACATTTTAGCCAGGTATAAACTCTACTGTATGACGTAACATTCTTTACACGAAATAATTGTTTTCTGGGTATAAACACTGATTACTCTAGGACATGAGTTTATTTATAAGACGTGTTATTCAGGTATAAACACTGATTACTCTAGGACATGACTTTATTTATAAGACGTGTTATCCAGGTATAAACACTGATTGCTCTAGTGTGCGAATATGCGAAATTCTCATTTCTAAAAATGCTTTCAGTCGTCATTCATAATTACCAGACGTTTAGAGAGAACCAATATTGCGTCAACAAGAACCTGGTAGTTAATAACAGAAGCTCTTTTGAGCTTTCCGTAAATTGACAGATATTAATTAAGTTATGCTGGAAAACTGAGGAGTAATTCGTGTTGTTTTTGTTATTAACATCGCAATGACCGGTTCGAACTGCCAGCAAAGGCATAACATTTCACTACAAATGGCTGCCTAGTTTCCGAAGGAAGCAACATTTATTCATTGTCGCTCTATGCATTCATCACGTGATTGTTTAACTGAAGATATATATATACTTTATGTGGAAACGACATCGATACTTCTAACCAATAATACAGTTTCACAATACTTCTAACCAATAATACAGTTTCACAATACTTCTAACCAATAATACAGTATTCACAATACTTCTAACCAACAATACAGTTTCACAATACTTCTAACCAACAATACAGTATTCACAATACTTCTAAACAACAATACAGTTTCACAATACTTCTAAACAACAATACAGTTTCACGATACTTCTAAACAACAATACAGTTTCACGATACTTCTAAACAACAATACAGTTTCACAATACTTCTAGCTAAAAATACAGTTTCATAATACTTCTAGCCAACAATACAGTTTCACAGTACTTCTAACCAAGAATACAGTTTCACAATACTTCTAACCAACAATACAGTTTCAAAATACTTCTAACCAACAATACAGTTTCAAAATACTTCTAACCAACAATACAGTTTCACAATACTTCTAACCAACAATACAGTATTCACAATACTCCTAACCAACAATACAGTATTCACAATACTTCTAACCAACAATAGTTTCACAGTACTTCTACCCAACAATACAGTATTCACAATACTCCTAACCAACAATACAGTATTCATAATACTTCTAACCAACAATACAGTTT